CATCCTACCATTCCCGAATCTAATTTTCCTCCATTTAAGAAGTTGCTTTGAACTGAGGGAAGCTTTTGGGTAGCTAAGCATTTCATTTCACTTCAGAAGCCACCAGAAGGATTTATTCTGGACCTTCTGGAGCCCTTGCCAAGGAGTCTGTTTTGTGTAATGATCCCTTAGGTCTGATTGCTCTCTGTGCAGAATTTCTTGAGACACAGGTGACATTCTAGAACAGATTCCATTTTTCTTCCTACAGCTTAAGAGTGAGAAGTGAATATGAGAGGAACTCAGTCAAAAGTTCTTATTTAATAGTCTGTCATATTTTTCCCCATCTCTTTGGAAATCTAATAAAAATGGGTTGGCCTTGCTTCTTTCTCTATATCCTTCATTCCCAGTTATGAAAATTCAGATAATAAACACCTTTCTCCCCTGTAGATTCAGTTGTCAATTTCTCTAGTACCACTGGATTCCTGCAAAGGGATAGAAATTAAACGATAACCCAATCTAATATTATTCTGATAATTTGTTCTTATAACAACAAAGAGGTGAAGTTCAGTTACCCACATTGAAAATGGTGCAGGAAGGTTTAATATTCTCATTTAAATATCCCCTTTCTATCACAGATCATAAAAGCTTCTGATGCATGAGCTAAGTATGATGAAAGGGGGAAAGACGAGAGGGAGAACTTTGTGTTATGTGAAAATTTATGGAGTTGTGCAGGATAGAGATTTGTCTGAGGAAATTTCCAAGTCTGAGCACGAGCATGAGGTGGAAAGGCAGGAGGTGAGGCGGGGGGAGTGGGCAGGACTGGATGATGAAGAGCCTTGACTATTAACCGAAAGCTTGGGAATATGGGGCATGGGATTGACAAGGATGGATTAATGTGTGGGCATTAATGTGTGTCTTCCCAGATTTCCTTCGTGGAATTTGCACAAAAGAAATTTCTAAGTGCCCGCGCTCCGCTGCTGGCGGCCCAGGTTCGGATCCCGGGCGCGCACTGATGCACCACTTCCCTGGCCATGCTGAGGCTGCGTCCCACATACAGCAACTAGAAGGATGTGCAACTATGACATACAACTATCTACTGGGGCTTTGGGGAAAACAAAAAGGGAGGAGGATTGGCAGTGGCTATTAGCTCAGGGCTGATCTTCCTCAAAAAAAAAAAAGTAAAAACAAAAAGAAATTTCTTTATGACTAGCTGGGGTAAAAAGCAAGAGCTCAAGGGACATGAAGGTGGGCTGATGTCTTTGAGGGAGACAATGGGAAGAGCTTCTCTGTTGTTCTGAGGAGATGAGGGGATGGAGGGCTTGAGAGAGTTGGGGAGGAGCTGGAGAGAAGGTGGATGGCTCTGGCTTCATGATGGAATTCCTCTCCTGCTGCTGAACTCACCAAATGTTGACGTGAGTGGATTTGGGAACAAAATCTACAAAGCGACCAATCTTTGAGATCGGATTTACATGAATAGAAGTGGGACAGCTTTACGGACAGAGTGTGTAGAAACAGAGAAAATAAGTTGTAGGCACTTGCAGAAAGCAGGAGCAAGATGTAGGTTGTCCCAGGCCGTGGATTTGAAGTTTGGGCCAAGTTTAAGCAAATCTCCAAGGACTAAGCTAGAAAGGCATCTGGGTTACCAGGGTTTTAGAAAGGCCATTCATGCAGCTGGATGGAGGATGGTTGGAGAAAGGGTGACTAACTAGCAGCCCCTGCTACTAGTTTTTCCCTCCCGGGGTGGGAAAGAATTGATGTCTTGACAGTGGGTCTTATTAAATATGACTTCTACTTTGGAGAACATTGATAGTCTCATGGGTGAACTCCGTTAACTTCCTGCCTTCAGACTAAAAGCATATTTATAACTGGTCACACCCTTCTTACTTCCTCCCTCTTATCTAAGAAGACAAAATGTCCCTCTACAGTCCAAATTAATCATTCCTCACGACCCTTGATCCTTTGATTGTATCTTTTCTTTTGTTTTTAACTCTGCTCTCTCTCTATAACCCCCTTCCCTTCAACATGGAAACTGCCTCTCTGTCTCCCCCAGCTTTTATTTTACAATAGCTTATTATTTTTATTAACTGCATGTTCATTACAGAAAATTTAGAAAATACGAAAAGTAAAACAGAAATAAAATCATTTTTAATCTCATCTGCAATGTATATCTTCAATTTTTTTCTTTATGGGCACGTAAAATAAATTGGAATGCAAACATTCAGGCCACTTTAAAATGGAAAATTAATTCTTGTATATCTTTTTTCTTTGGAGCACTAGCAGAATGGAGATGGGGCAATATGGGGAGTAGCTGACAATTAGGAAGATATAAAGGCAGGTTCCTTTTGTGCTAAGAAGAGGTCAGAGGACAGAGGCAGGATGGAAAACATACCCATGCTGGGAGCTTGGATGACAGGAAGGGTCATCTAGAAGTTGCTCTAGCAGGCAGAGGTCTCACTGCTCATGAAGAACTTGGAGAATGGGTCTAACAAAGGACCACTTTGAGAGACATTGTTTAAAAGATGGGAGCCACACAGGGTCTGAGTCACCTCTCATAGACCATTCATCCTTTACTTCAAAACCTCTCGTCATATGCACTTGGGTCCTAGGCCTATCATTCCTCCCATCAGGGGAGCCCAGGAGGACTGGAATTTATCTCCATCTGTTGATTCACCCACTAGCTACCAAGCAGGAGTGTCCCTTCTGTGCCACAATGCTTCTCTTAGAACCTATGTGCATAACCAGTATGGACACTCCCTTTTACAATGTCCCAGGACATTTGTGCATACAGGAAGGGGGGCCAGCTTTGGATATCTAGTGGAATAATAATGGGGAAGGCTTCTACTCTATAATTAATGGTGAGAAGCAAGAACTGAACAATTGTGAGACACCATGTCTCAAATTGTTTTCTGTCTACATAGTTTTTAAAAACAATTTTATTGACATATAATTGACATATATACTGCCTATATTTAAAGTGTAAAAGTGGATAAATTTTGACATATATGCCTGTGAAACCATCACCACAACCAAGAAGATGAACACATCTATCATCCCCCAAAGTTTCCTCTTATCATTTTGTAATCCCTCCCACCCAGCCTCTCCATGCTCCATCCCCAGGCAACCAGTGATATGCTTTCTGTCATTGTAGATTAGTATGCATTTACTGGAGTTCTATATAAATGGAATTACACAATATATGCTCTTTTTTTGTCTGGCTTCTTTCACTCAGTATAATTATTTTGTGATTCACCCATATGGTATCATGTATCAATATTCATTCCTTTTATTGCTGATAGTGTTCTATTGTATGGCTATACCACAATTTGTTTATTTGTTCACCTGTTGATGAACATTTGGGTTGTATCCAGTTTGGGGCTATTAAAAATAGAGCTGCTATGAACTTGCATGTAAAAATCTGTGTGCGAACTTATGCTTTTATTTCTGTTGGATAAAAACTTAGGGGTGGAATGGCTAGATTATATGGCAGGTGTATGTTTAACTTTTTAACAAAATCACCAAATTGTTTTCCAAAGTGGTTATACCATTTTATATTTCCATCAGCAGTGTGTGAGGGTTCCAGTTCTTCCACATCCCTCCCAACTCTTGGTTATGATCCGCCTTTTTAATTTTACCCATTCTAATAGGTGTGCGATAATAGATCATTGTGGTTTTAATTTGCATTTCTCTACAGTGTTGAACACCTTTTTATGTGATTACTTGCCATCCATATATCACCTTTGATGAAGTGTCTATTAAAATTTCTTGCCTATTTTAATTTACTGGGTTGTTTGTTTTCTTATTTTGAGCGTTCAGAGTTCTTTATATATGTGGGATACAAGTCCTCTATCAGATATATGATTTGGAATTTTTTTCCCAATATGTGGCTTGTCATTTCATTATCTTAATTGTGACTTTTGAAGAGCAGAGGTTTTAAATTTTGGCAGAGTCCAATAGCAATTTGTTCTTTTATGGATCTTGCTTTTGCTGTCATATCTAAATATCTTTGCCTAACCCAAAGTCATAAAAAGTTTTCTTCTAAAAGTGTTATTGTTTTTGGTTTTACATTTGTAGGATACATTTTGAGTTAATTTCTGTATATGGAGTGAAATATGGCACATAATTTATTTTTGCATTTATTAAAATGACCATCCTTTCCTTACCGAATTGCTTTTGCATCTTTGTCAAAAAATTATTTGACTGTATATGTATGGGTCAGTTTCTGGACTCTCTATTCTGATCCATTGGTTTATTTGTCAGTCTTGACAACTATACTACACTACCATAATTCCTGTAGCTTTATAATAAATCTTTAACTTAGGTAGTATTATTCCTTCAATTTTGTCTTTCTTTTTCAAAGTTGATTTGGCTATTCGAGTTCTTTTGCATTTCTATATGAATTTTACATTTAATTCAACAATTTATTTTAAAGAATCCCTGCTGGGGGCCAGCTCCGTGGCTTAGCGGTTAAGTGCGCACGCTCGGCTACTGGTGGCCCGGGTTCAGATCCCAGGCGCGCACTGACGCACCGCTTCTCTGGCCATGCTGAGGCCACGTCCCACATACAGCAACTAGAAGGATGTGCAACTATGACGTACAACTATCTACTGGGGCTTCGGGGGAAAAAAAGGAGGAAGATTGACAATAGATGTTAGCTCAGAGCCGGTCTTCCTCAGCAAAAAGAGGAGGATTAGCATGGATGTTAGCTCAGGGCTGATCTTCCTCACAAAAAAAAAAAAAAGAATCTCTGCTGGCATTTTTATTGGGATTGTGTTGAAACTATAGATCAATTTTGGGGGGCAGAATTGACTTCTTCATAATACTGACTCTTTCGATCTATGAATATAGTAGATCTCTCCATTTAATTAGGTCTTTAATTTCTCTCAGCAATGTTTGAGTTGGTTTCAATGTATAGGTCTTGTGCATCTTTTGTCAGATTTATCCCTAAGTGTTTAATAATTTTAATGCCATTGCAAATGATATTTTTAAAATTCTAATTTATAATAGTTCATTATTAATATATAGAAATGACTTGATTTTTGTATGTTGATCTTGTATCCTGCATTCTTGTTAAATTTGCTTATTAGTCCTAGTAACTTTTTGGAGATTCCATCAGATTTTCTACATAGATAATCATGTCATCGGTGAACAAATAGTTTTACTTAGTCTTCTCCAGTTTGGTTTTCTTTTTCTTGCTTTATTACACTGGCTATAACTTTCCATACAATATTGAATAACAGTTTTATTTTTAAATAAAAAAAGATATATTAACACACTTCAATGAAAATAATTTTTTTAATTTAACAATATATCATGAATGTCACTGTATTTCATTTTTTGTGGCAGCATATACACTATCATATAGCTCAACTTAAATCTATATTACCAGCCCACTAGTAGAAATTTTGGTTGGTTTTGGTATCATAACTAAATATTTTTGCCTATCCCAGAGTCGTGCGGATTTTCTCCTATGTTTTCTTCTAGAAGTGTTATTGTTTTAGGTTTCACATTTTCTTGTTCATTGTTGTAGCTAATACTATGACAAGAATTCATGTAGCAAAACATTGTACACATCCTTGATTACTACATTAAGGTAAATTTTTAGAAATGAAATTTAAGGGAGAAATTGCATGACACAGTTAAGACTTCTGATACATATAGCCAAATTGCTACCCGGGAAAATGATGATACCAAATTATCTTACTATAGTCATGCGCCATTTTGGTCAACAACAGACCACATATATGACAGTGGTCCCATAAGATTAGTACTGTAAAGCCTAGGTGTGTAGTAGGCTATAACATCTAGGTTTGTGTAAGTACACTCTATGATGTTCACACAATGATGAAATCACCTAATGATGCATTTCTCAGAACATATCCCCTTTGTTAAGTGATGCATGACTATACTAGCATGTTTTAAATGCCAATTTAAGAGGATAAAATTGGTACCAGACTGTTGTTTAAATTTCCATTTTTTAGATTCCTTATAAGGTGGAATTGTGTGTGTGTGTGTATGTGTATGTGCTTACCAACCATTTGCATTTCTTTTTTCCACATTTTTTTCTATTGGTTGCTCATCTTATTGATTTTTAAGAACTCGTCTATGTTTCTCTCCAGTAAAATATCCATCCCTTGGCTCTGTGATCCATCTATAGCTACTGGCTTGCTTACTGCTTCATAGGCAACATTTTGGAAAGCATTTTCCACCTTTCCCCAAATGTCAACTCTTTCTCACTGAAGGAAACCGAATTTGCCTCCCCCAAATATGCCTCTTTGGCATTTGGGGGATAATCTAACGATTATCTTGAGCTGGCTATTTTTAAGAAACAGCAGACATGGGAGAAGCTCTGAAAATTGAGTAGAAGTTACCCTTTTGTAAGGGACATTTACATTTACAAGAGAAGTCTCCATTTGTAAGGACGTCTCCCTCTCTGTACCAGGAAGAGGAGGATAATTCTCTAGAAATTCCTATCAATGGAGAAGGCAGGGACTTAAATCTGCATAACAACCCTAGCCTTGTTTACTGTGCTTTTCCTGGGAACCTCCCATAACTGCCCCCCCCGCCCCCAACATCTTTCTTCTGTCTTTAGCTGGAGATGGTATTTAAGGTGGTGGCTTGGGCCATTTCAGGGAGTTACTCGGTTTTCCTGGGTATCTCCCATGTATACAGGTATACATGTTAGTAAACTTCTGTTTGTTTTTCTCCAGTTAATCTGTCTTACATTAAAATGTGGTCTCAGCTGAGAACCTAGAAGGGCAGTGGAAAAATTATTTTTGCTCCCTTATATCATGTTCCATTGATTCTTCAACTACCTGAAATCCAGCTGTCAAAAATGTTACCCCACTGAAACTACTCTTGCCAAAATTACTGGTAACCTCCTAATTTTATCTTTACTCTCGGTTCTGTCTGTAGCACCTGACACTATGGGCTCTTTCAATTTCCTTTAAACCTTTGGTTTCAAAAATGTCAGTCTCTACTGGTCCTTTGCCACTTTCTGGCTGCTGCTCTGTATCATTCTCTGCTGGCTCCTCTTCTCCATGTGCTCTTCACCTTGGTCCCAGGGCTCCATCTTGATCCACATTCTCACATACTTTCTCACTCTTCACTGAGTCATCTGAGCCTGAGGCTTCCACTACCAGAGACTTCTGCACACACTTCTCTCTGAGTCCAGAATCAACCTCTCTCAGACTTACCTGCTACACCTGGAAGGTCCACTCATGTGTCCTGACTGGACATCTCAAACTCATGTGTCCTGACAGGACTTCTTATGTTATTTCACCAGACTTGCTCATCTGCATGTATATTCTTCCCCAGATAATAATTAAATCCTTCACCTAATCACTCAAGCCAGAAAGCTGAGATGGTTTCCTAAACCTCATCCCTCATCTTCAGCTCTTGCAATAGCTCGGTAACTGATTCCTACCAAATGCCTTCCTCTCGGTCTCCTCAGCTCCTGCTGTAATTGAATCCATCTGTTTTTTAGCTTGCATGTTATGCCTGGCTCACCCACCTGGGCAATTCATTCTCCATACATTGCTGCAGAGTGATCTTTCAAAAATACAAACATATTAATTCCTTATTTAATACCCTTAAATGTCTTTCCATTTCCTCCTGGATAAAGTTGACATTCTTTAGTAAACCATCCTGTATAATCTGTCACTTGATTTCTATTTAACCTTGGTCTATTATCTGTCTTAACAATATTAGTATTAATAGCTTTATATTGTTCATTTAATTCTCACAACCTTTCTATGATAGATGTCCTATTATCACTTCCATTGTAGATGAGGATGGGAGGTTAAGAAACTTGCCTGTGGTGATCCTTCTCTCTGGCAAAGCCAGTTGTTTTTTCAATTTATGGATTATTCATCCTCTGAGCACTTAAATCTACTGTTTTCTTGTGTAGAATGTCCTCAACTCTCTCTATCTCACTGGAGACATCTAGTCACCATTTAGAAGCAGTTTCAGTTTCCTCTTCTCCTGGGAAGTGTTTCCTAACCATCCAGATAGACACGATCGTTCCCTGCTCTGAACCACAAAGGCAGTAGAAGATAGTGCTTAAAACCATAGACTTGGGCATAACATTGACTTAAGACTGAATCTCAGCTCCACCATGTAAAAACTGAGAACTTAGACAATTTACTTAACTTCTTTAGGCATCAGTGATGTCATTTGCGAAACTACCACGAGAATACCTATTTCATGTGTCTTGGGAGGGTTAAATGAGATTATGTACATAACAAAGCACGCAGTACAGCGCTTGGAACTAGGAAGCAATCAGTAAATTCTGGCTGCTCATTTTGGCCATTGACATAATACATCTCAGTCTATCATTCCTGTAAATGATCTGCACCTCTACCAAATGTACTTAATGGTAACCCCAGAGGAAAATTTCCCTAGGACTTCAGTGACCTGATAATCTGTGTATTTGCTGAAATATTTATATTTATGTACTATAAATTATTTAATTGACCATGTTTCCCTCTTTGCTTTGGCTGCAAACCTTTTAGAAGCAAATAACTCTTCCCATCTAACTAGTACACAGGACCTGTGGTATGCATCTCCTTATGTGTGCCTTATGATTCACTCCATTCACTTTCTTTTACTACAACCTCCTTAACCATTTGCCTTTTTGGTATGTATTTCTGTAAGCAGGCTCAAATCCCTTGTGCATTGTGATGGAGCGCTAATGATATCTGAAGGATGTAACAGGGGCGGGCTGAGCTAAGCAACTCCAAGGCTTTGTAGACTGACTGATGTTTGAATGCCTGATCTGTCAAATCACAATAATGGAAGGAAAATAATGTCAATTCCTCAATAGTGGATAGGATAATTTGTATTATTTTATAGATAAAATTCTTTAGTTTATTTAAATAAGAAGGGCAGCTGAAAGAAGCTGAGGTATGTTTTATCTAATAAACGTGCAACATGAAAATGCTCTGAGCCATTAAGACCCACACTGAAACTTCATTTAAAGCCAACCTTTGGGAATCATGAAATGAATCATGGCCACCTCTTATGTAATCAAATTTTGAACAAAAATATAAGGGGCAGGAAGTCTTATAAATATTTGAAAAACTAACTGGAAATCCAGACCAATCATACTGGTTGAGAGACTAAGAATTACTTCCAATTACTATGGAAGTTAAACGCAGCCTGAGTTGTATTACCAAGATTAGGTTTGAAAACGCAGTCTTCAAATCTTCAAACATCAGTAAGAATCTTAACCTAATCCAGTCTTCTTGTAAACAGTGAGCTAGCAAAAAGAGTAAAACGATCCTAACTATCCTTTCATTGGGATTTTTCTTTAAACCAATCACTCGATCTCCAGGGAAACACTTTCCCCCACGATGTCAGTCTCTGAATTCAAGTGTGATCCTGTCATAGCTTCTCAGAGAATTGTGGAGTTAACCCACTTACATGGAAAGAACTCTCAAAACTGGGCTTGACTCTTAAAAAGGGGGAAAATATATAACATATATATATATATTTTGTTTGTTTGTTTTGGTGAGAAAGATTGGCCCTGAGCTAACATCTGTGCCAATCTTCCTCTATTCTGTATGTGGGACACTGCCACAGCATGGCTTGACGAGTGGTGTGTAGATCTGCACCCGGGATCCGAACCTGTGAACCCCAGGCAGCCGAAGTGGAGCGCGCAAACTTAAACCACTGTGCCACTGGGCTGGCCCCAGATGGGTGCTATGACCCCAGAAAATACTTTGTCTTTTAATCTAAATTAAGATTTAGTTTCACAAACCAGGAAAAAGCTGTTGATTGCAATCAATTTACATAGAAATTAGTCAAAATATGCCAACATTGTTACTACACCTTCAAAAATGTAACTGCCTGTAGTTAAACAACCTCACGTCTCCTAGAAACGCAGAGATAGGACATAAATGCTATGAGATTATTTTAACTTGAATGCTTTAATATACGCATTATTCCTCAAGTCAAATTCTTTCACTGTAATGACACGACATCTTATAAAAAAGTAATAGCTTTGTGCATACAGGGTACGCAGTCGACCCTGTGTATTTTAAGAGATGATTGTGATTTAAGGTTTGCAACATTGGAAATGTTTTCTAGAAGGGAGGTAACAGTGAAGTGGGTTGCCTTGACAACATGGATTAGTTGCATCAAGAAATCCAAGGCCATGCAGGACCTTGTGGTACGTCAAGATTGCAAACTATCTACCGAATCAGGATAAAATAAAAGTAATCCCACTGCAAGGCAGTGTTACCTGACCTATGAAACATTAGTTCTCACTTTTTATCACGAACCTTGTTAGAAAATAGATCACAAATCAAGGTGGCAAGACAGTCCAGAAGGCAGGAAGAAAACAGAAACAGCAAGGATTTTATTCCAGAGTCTGCCCCCCTCTCCTCAAAACCGCTGCAACCCCAACAGGATTCCAGGAGTTCCTGAATATTCTCTGAAAGTCGATTCTGCTAAGAAAAATATCTCCTGCCTTGATTCTGTTGATTTCCCCAGCAGTCTCCCACGAAGCTTCTCTATGGGAATATCACTTGCCCCTATTGCATATTCTTCAGTAATGAGCGTAACAACGATTACCACAACAAAGCTAGTTATTAGTTGAATAGAAAACAAAACCTGTTAACATATGTGCCCTCTAGTCCAATTACCCTGGCAGGGCAGAGGAGAGATTTATCTGTGAAGTATCAAGCCTCAAAGACAAATCCTGTTATTGGAAACCTACATTCTTGAACAATCTTGTTTCCTTCCTCCAGCAAGCGCCCCTTTGTGACACTGCTCTTACTACACAGTTTTGATACTCTGCTCCTCAAAATCACCATAAAGCAATTTTGAATGAGGAGCTTGGATTTTCCTTTCAGAATGATTTTTGAAAGGTAAGGAGAGCTATGCTTTTCTTTGGCTTAAATTGCAGGACCAGTTTCGTTTTCAATGTGGTCTCACGCTGGATTCATTGGATATTATCGGAGACGGGCTCTGAGTGAAGGAGACATACTACGTAGCTGTTTGGACTTCCCTTTTGTATTTCCTGGCTTTAAGATCGTGGAAGGGAATTGAGACTGGAGAGACACACACTAGGAGCAGAGGAACTGCCTTTGTAATTAAAAATTGAGAAGCATTGGCCGCAGCTCCCATGAGTTCCCAGGCCAGAAAGTGGCAGCTCCAACATGTGCAGGGCCAAGGTAACCTAGCAGAGTGTGCCACTGAGTGTGACGGCTAAGAGCAAAGAAATTTTTTATTCCAAGTGGTGTTTATTTTTTTTCTCCTGGGTAATAGACAGGAAGCCTAGTAGATGGACCCATCACCTACATTAAAGGCCAGAGTTATTTGTGAGGCTTTATGTGTCTTGGAGGCAAAAACCACCACTCCAAGCCTATGAATCATTTAAAGCGTGCCAACGGATGAATGGAAACATTGCTTTTTAGAAGTATCTTTGGAAGTGACAAGTGAACAGGCATGGCATCAACGACTCACTGACTATATACTAGGGAGAAAAATAGGCATATTATTGGGGAAGTATGCCACAGAAATAGTCAAGGACAGCTTCTGATTCAATCCTAAACATTAGGATTTGTCAGTCAAGATAAGAATATAGAGAATCCAAGCAAATATAAAGCCATAATTTGCGCTCTTAGCTAAGTCCTTTAACTTTATCAACTGACAAGCTACCTAACAGATCTTCCATGCAAATACTCTTATAGGACCATAGGAAACAGGAATTTTACTCAAGAAGGCAGAACTCATCTTTCTCCAGCGTCTTCATTTCTCATGGGAAGTGGGCCATCTGTCCTTTGGTCTCCTTAGCGTGACCACACTTAGGTCAGTCTCGCATGGGAGCTATTTGGATAAAACATGTGAGTGTATCTTGTGGTCACATTGAAGAAAACCCCTCTATTTTAGAGAAGACAGTAGGCATATCTAAATAAAACCTACAGCTGGTGAAAAGCAACGAACATGACACAGAAGGAAACCTTGCATTCTGGTCCTCGTTTTACATAAACGTGTAATTTTGAGTAAGATGTTTGATAATTTTTGGGTCATGTGGTTTTTTTCCCCTTACAAAATAAAATGTTAGATTTAGTGGTTTCCAATCTTTTTTTTCTTTAGAGACCAAGGATTTTTCAGAGTTCCAGGGGCTATCAGAGGTCAGAGGGGAATGGAGAACAGGAAGGACTCCGGGTCCCTTTTTCTTTACTTTTCTCATTAGTCTAACCAGTGTATTTCAGCTTTTACCACTTTTGTTATTTAATCTTCTATTTAACATTTTAAAATAAACTTTTAATTTTGGAATAATTTTAGATTTACAGAAAAGTTTTAAAGATAATAAAGGTTGTATATACCCCTCCTCAGCCAGTTTCCCCTAATGTTAACATCTTACATTACCATAATACATTTGTTGAAACAACGAAACCAACATTAGTACGCTAATATTAACTAAACTCCAGACTTCACTAAGATTTTACCAGTTTTCTTACTAATTTCCTCTTAAATTTTAGCTAAATATTGTTCCCTGATGAAAGTTCTGAGACTACCATTCGAGGAGTTTAGAAAGCATGGGAGAGATGTAAAAGACAATCTAGTACCTAATTGAGGTTTTCTTTTTGATATCATTAGAATTACTGAAAGACCAGAGTTAGGAATAACTTTCTGCTACGTGAGTCAATAGTACAGAAAGTATAGTTCTGCACGGGCATCATCCGGGAGCTGGTTAGGAATGAAGAATCTCATGCCCCTCCTCAGGCCTACTGAATCAAAACTTGATTCAATTTTTGAGATTATGTCTATAAACCCACAGAAAAATCTCCTTTTAAAGACTAACTAGAATTTCATTTTATTTTATTTTATGTATTTTTTTTGGGTAAGGAAGATTAGCTCTGAGCTAACATCTGTTGCCAGTCCTCCTCTTTTTGCTGAGGAAGACTGGCCCTGGGCTAACATCTGTGCCCATCTTCCTCCACTTTATGTGGGATGCCGCCACAGCATGGCTTGACAAGTGGTGCATATGTCTGAGCCCGGGATCCAAACCCCTGAACCCCGGGCCGCCAAAGGAGAGCTTGCGAAC